TTCAGCGTGCAGAGCAGGCGGGGGATTTCATGATTTCCCATTAGGTCTTTCTCTAGTGAAACCCATTGTGGTCTGATCCTGGAGATGATATGTGGTTATGGCAGTGGCTAGCACTGCTGCATGGTAATAGGTTTGCATATTAGGCATTGCCAGACCCCCTAGTGTCTTGGGGGCTTGAAACACTTTTAAGGGTATCCTGGCTTTGCCACCTGCCCACACAAACCTCCACATGTCTGCCTGGATCGTCTTGAAATAGGAGTGGTATAGTGCGGAACAGGTACAATAACCTTGGCAAAATTGACATTTTTAGTGCTACTATACGGTCCATCCAGGACAGGTACAGCGGTGTCCATTGTTTCAGTAACTGGCTGCACTTATTCCAAACAGAGATGTAATTCGCCGCCATTAGATTTGCGGGATTTTTCGTTATTGTTAGTCCTAAGTACCTTATGGAGTCTGTTCTCCAGTCAAAGTTGTAAGCGTGGGTAAGGGTGTTAAGTAAAGGGACTGGGAAGCCTATAGGCAAGGCTTGTGTCTTGGTTGCATTAACGGAGTAGTATGAAACACGTCCATAATCCTGAATCAACTGCATCAGTGTGGGAAGGGAGCCTTGGGGATTTGCAATATATAGTAGTACATCGTCAGCAAATTTAAATCTGTTTATCGCCCAGGCTTATTCCCTGTGTGTTCTCATTCTGTCTAATAAGGTGCAGTAGGGGTTCTAATACAAGGACATAGAAGAGTGGCGAGTGGGGGCACCCCTGCCTCATTCCATTCATGATCTGAAAGGTAGGGGATAGGAATCCTGACTGGACCACTTGTGTTGAGGGTGAGTAATATAATGCAAAGATTTGTTGGATTACTTGTGGAGGGAACCCATACCTGTCTAAAACCTGCTTCAGGAAGGCCCAGCCGAGGCGGTTAAAAGCCTTTTCTGCGTCCAGTGCTAATAGAAGACCACCTCTACTTGACCTTCCGAGCTTTCTTTGTACCAGGATTGGTTTTTGGGTGTTGTCTAGGCCTTATTGACCCATCACAAAGCCCGTCTGGTCATCATGGATTAAGTGTGGAAGGATTGGGCTTAGTCTAATAGTAATAATATTGGCATACATGTTCACGTCTGTGTTAAGTAAAGAGATGGGTCTGTAGTTCTTGCATATGTCTGGGGTTTTGGATTGTAACTATTGTAGCTAGTAGCATTTCGGGTGGCAAATGGCCTGAGGATGCTGTTTGCTGGTACACATTCAGGAGCTGTGGTGCCAGTATGGTACTGAACACTTTGTAGTATTTGTTAGAGAGACCGTCTGCACCCGAAGACTTCCCCGGGGGTAGTTGTTTAATAGTTTGCGTAATTTCTTGTATGGTGATAGGTTGCAGAAGGGTCTGTGTTTTTTCCTCTGTTAATCTGGGCAGTGAGACGTCCGTTAGGTATTGGGTGATGTCTGAGGGTTAGGGATGGGTCATAGTGTCATCAAGTTGTAGGTTATTTAGTTTAGAGTAGAAGTTTGCAAATGCGCTACTAATTGCTTGGGGGTCAATATGTTTCTTGCCTTCATCGTCTATAATGTGTTAAATCTTTGATTGAGCCATTTTAGCCTGGAGCCTTGCCGCCAAGTATTTGGTGGCATTACTGGAGGTGTGTTAGGTAGTGGCTCTTAGTTTATAGAGAAGGCGATTAGTTTTTTCCGCCTGTAGTTGTCGAGTGTAGTGCATTGATTTTGGTCACGTGTGTCTGCATAGGCTGTGCCTTGTTTTTTGCAGAGATTATGGCTAGTTCCTTATAGGACTCCAGGAGTTTGATTTGATTTTGTATTTTAAGGTAGGAGGACTTCTTAAGAAAAAAAACCCTGACTACTGCCTTATGGGCGCTCATACCATGTCATCCGTTACTTCACCTGTCTCATTGGTTTGGAAGTCTATCAGTGCTGACTGAACAGAGTCTCGATATGCTCCATAAGTCAGTAGGGACTCGTTGAGGCGCTACTGCCCCCTTCCCTTAAGTTGAAACTCGTCATGGAGAAGTAGGTGGACTAGGCTGTGGTCAGACCATGTGATCTCTCCAATCCTACAGTCCAGCAGTTGTGCTAGGGTGGTGTTAGCAAGGAAAAAATTGTCAATACAGATGTGTGTGTTGTGCACTCAGGAGTGAAATGTGTAGGAAGACTCTGCAGGGTGCAGGGTACGCCAGGCATCATATAGACCGTGATGTGTGAGTAGTTTTGTTATATTCTTGCATGTGACATTCATTTGCTTTTTCCTATGACCGGTGGGGTGGGCTGTGGTGTCAAGTGGCGGTGTATGGATAAAGCTAAAACACACAGGATCAGGCCAGCTGTTCTGACCATGTCTATGGTCAGAAAGAGATTCTGAAGATACTGTTTGGCTTCTGTATTGAGGAAGCAAGTTGTTAATAAGGTATACTGTGTGTTGTTAAAAAGGGCCTATAAGGATGATATATCTGCCCTTTGTGTCTATGATTTTTCGATGCAGTGTTAGATGCAGCGTTTCGATGCAGTGTTAGAGGTACATCTTTATGAATAAAGACTGAGACCCCTTTTGTCTTGTTTTCGGAGCGGGCGTTGAACTGGCTTGGGTAATATTTAATGTATATAGCTGGTATGTAATCCCTTCTGAAATGCGTCTTTTGGATGCACGCAACATCTATTCTCTCTTTCTTTAGATCTCTGAGTAAGAGGCTACACTTGCTTGGGGTGTTAAGCCCCTTGACATTAAAGGTCGTAATTTTCATGGAATGCAAGACCTCAGGTCTGCTTTAGTTTTATAGTAGTGGTCCAGAACGTCTGTAGATGGCATGTGGACTGATTCTTGACTTCTGCCATAGCGGTCTGAGCCTGGTCTAGGGCCAGCCAGTGTGGTATGCAGTGATACAAGGTGATAGAAAGGGGGAGTAATCTTGGGGGGGTGGGGGAAAGTTAACAAACAGTAAGTGAAATATTACTCAGCAGATCTGAGCAGCGTTGTGTCCTGGCATATCCAGACACAAACAGTGTGGGGGGCGGCCTTGAGTGGCTCCATTTCTCACAGTTACTTAGGTCTTAAGGTCCAAGGGTAGCTAATAAGGTGCTTAGGTTGTACCTCCTAATCAATACATAACTGTAACCAATACATAACTGTACCCAATACATATCTGTCCCCATACATAACTGTAAAAAATAATTTAAGAGTGGGTGTTACTTAGGAAGTGTGATGGAATTTCGGTGACATGTAAATTTAGTAGGCCGAGATTTCCACGTGGCATATGTAAGTATACGTGTATGTTGTATCAGTTAGTTAGTTACACGTAGCTAAGATACTGTCATCATTGTACTGAGCATGTGCAGGAATGCAGGAACTGAAATCACATTCCTTTCTCCTTTGTTTCGGATGAGCTATGTGGTCTGCCCATATAAGGAAATCCAGATCCTGTCCACCGATTGGTTAAGGGTATGTGCGGGTGGAGCTATTAATGGGAGGAGTTATAGTTCTATAAAAAGCATGTACTCCATGTGTTCGGCCCTCAGACCTGTTTTGGAACGTTAGTTCATCTGAGACCCGATCGGTATGTTAATAAAGACCTTTTACTTCTTGAAGACCTGAATCTATCTCTCTGTGTCTGCCTTCTGCAAGTTTCCTCAGTTACAGAAGTTATATTCTTTGAGCCCTTTGGGCTTGTCTTTGAATGACAGTAATTTTTTTTCCCATATTTTAATGCTAATAGGGCAGTGTCGGTGTCTAACCAAATAAGCATATTATACCATACCACTAAACAGTAAGTGAAGTATGCTCATTGCAATTAACATAACAGGTAACAACTTCTTTCAGAGCATAACTAGGTGGAAAACAGAAATATTTAAACATCCAAATTACATGTACATACAAGGCATAGTTATATACGATACCCTACGGGCGAGAGCCCGATGCCTTCAGGCTTGAGACCATTCCGGTGACAGCCTGGTGTGGCTGCCTGGAGATCAGGTAATGGTAGGCCCCAGTCTTTTAACTTTTGCAGGCCTTCTTTCTCTGTTGTTACGGCGTGGATCACTCCCTGTTTCTGTATTAGTAGCTTCGCCGGGTATCCCCATCTGTAGGTGATTTCGTTGGATCGAAGTGAGGTAGTGACTTGGGGCAGCAATTTCCTAAACTGCAGTGTGGTGGCTAACAAGTCCGCAAAGACTTTGATGTTGGAGTATGGATCGGGAGGGCTGTGTTCCTGCAGGCGTTCGTGATGCGTTCCTTCACGTGGTAAAAGTGAATGCGTGCTTTAACAACCCTTGCGGCTGTAGCGGGTAGGTGACTGGGCCTGCGAAGGCGCTGGGCCCTGTCGATCACTAGAAGGTCAGTACATTTTTTAATCTTTCAGAGATCCTTGGTTGCATCTGTGGGTTTTTTCTTCATGACTTTGTGATTCTACTTGTATGGATTGTGGCTTCCTGGCCTGGCTGGCTTTTTGTGATTTCTCCTTATTTATTTTTTTAAGCACACCTTATGGAACCCCTAACTGTGTTTGCAAATATTAAATTATGACAAGTCTTTTCTAGAATTGTCTACATTAATTACTGAAATTCTACATTTGCAGTAGGCTGCAGTACAATCACTTTGAAAGCCTGGTTTGACTGCCCTTCTCACAGATACTGGAAGAGAACAGCCCTGATCACCCCATAGGCTCAGCGCCCTTCACTGCTGCAGTATCCCAGCACACTGCAATGACTGCACATGAAGCAACCAGAATTAATAGATGATATAAACACACCTTTGTATTAAAACTCAAAAATTGGGAAATTGGGGATGGGGGGGGCAGAGCAGAGCAGTCTCAACAGCCCAGAGCTCAGTGAAATCATCGATTTTTATGCTTTCCTGTTGCTTACCCATGGGGCTGACCGGGCTTAATCCTCGCATTACTCGCAATGTTCTTGTGGCAGAAACAGCTGGGGCTGCGGAGACTTTCTCCCTGGGGTGGTGAAGGCTGGAACGTCTTGTGGCCTAGGTAGTAGCACGAGGGCATGGGTGAGGTGGCCGATCACCCCGCCAGAAGGTCCCTGGGACTACAGCAAACTACGCCAGATTACCTCGCCCCCCTTAACGCAGGTGACAGATATCCCGGCACCAGCAAAATACCTACCACAGAGTCTTGCAAAGCATCTCTGAGAACACTCACACCAGCAACCAGCATTTCCAAAATGGCGGACACTATGCTTTAGTCAGCAAGCCCCTCAGCCTCAAGTGGTCTGGCATCTCACATTTTGACAAAACTAGATGAGACTTTTGCTGCCTTTTGGGACAAAATTTCTGAGAGGATGCTGACCTCCATGCCAACAGAGCAGACCGATCCTGTACCTCCACCTCTGGCTGTCTTGTATCTCAGGAGCTGACACAAAATGGAGGATAATGACAGCTCTCAGAGGCGTTGGCGATGACGGGGGTCAGCTACACAAGCCGAAATGGACAGCCTGTCCCACACTTCACTTGCGGGCCAGAGCACCACAACTCCTTACCAAGCACGAGGCTGTCTATTCCTATGCACTGATCCAATCCTCCAGCAGCACGAACCTCTGCCAACACCTGCCTGCTACCTGGCACTTACTAATATCCGGGCCTCCTGCATGCCAGAAGCCTGTTGGATCGGCTGATGGTGATCAAGGGACTGGAGTCTTTCAAGTAAACCTTACTCCTGCTGGAACTCCCAACTTCGTTGTTTCAACTTAGAGATGTTTTATTTCGTTTTTTGGCTGGGAGGCTAGCTAAACATATATCTGCAGTCTAATTCTTGTAATTTCTCAATTTCTTGCAGTTAGGGGCGTACCTAGGGCATGTGGCACCCAGGGCGGGTCCTGGGTGTGGCACCCCCCTTCTCCAAAAAAAAACCTACTAAATTTTTAAAATGTGTTAGATTTTTAAAAAAATGTATTGAACAAATTTGTAAACTTTTTAAAAACCCTGCCCCCCTCTACAAAATCCCTGCACCTCCTCACACACAGTTACAGGCAGTCACACGCACACAGTCACATGCAGACAGTCACACATATAGTCACAGGCAGTAATACACACAGTTACAGGTAGAGAGTTACACACAAACACAGTCAGTTACAAACAGTTACACACAGTCACGCACACTGTTACAGACAGAAAGTCACATATTCAGTCATACACATAGTTACAGCCACAAACACACACGGTTACAGGCAGTTACACACACAGTCAGTTACAGGCAGTCACGCACAAAGTTACATGCAGACAGTCACAGGCAGACAGTAACACACAGTTACAGGCAGCATCACACAGTCACAGGCAGACTGTCACACACACACAGTTACAGGCGTGCAGTCACACACAAACACACACACACACTTACAGGTAGACAGTTACACACATATACACACAGTTATAGGCAGACAGTTACACACACACACACAGATACAGACTGTCACACACACACACACACACACAGATACACACAGACAGTCACACACACACACAGTTACAGACAGACAGACAGTCTCACACACACACACACACACACAGTTACAGACAGTCACACACACACACACACAGTTACAGACAGACAGTCACACACACACAGTTACAGACAGTCACACACACACAGTTACAGACAGTCACACACACACACACACACACACACAAACTCTTATACTTACAGACAGTGTGGGCTGGAGGAGTGGATTCCCTGGCCTGAGGTCCTTCCCTGGCTGGCGGTGGAGGTGCAGGGATTTCTGCTTGCTGCACCTACATGTGCAGCAGTTACAGCAGCTTGCAAAGGCCGTGTTAAGCCCCCCCCGCTCGCGGTTAGGCTCCGCCCCTAAATGACCGTAGCTCCGCCCCTTCCTCCTCCCGTGCGGCCAGTTTAGGTGCTGGTCTCCATGTGAGCTGTGTGACACCCCAGCTGCCATGGGGCGCAGCTCACACAGCCCCCTCCAGCCCCAAGACCAGGGTCAAGGCACCCCCCTACCAAGTGGCACCCGAGGCGGACTGCCCCCTCCGCCCCCCCTTAGTCCGCCACTGCTTGCAGTGTCTTTGCTTATGTCTCTAGCATGTGTTTTCCTTGATTACTTACTACCAAAAAGGTGCAACGATCTAGACATGACCTACTAATCCTTTTCTGGCAACGTTGAATCTGTACTATTTCTTACTCAGCTTGTATCCATAACAATGCACTGCAAAAATAAAGAATTACAAAAAAAAGGTAAAATGATATACAAACACCAACTCTACACACACAACACACCTGTTTCTAAGTGCTACAATCTGTTTATTATCTATAGAAATTAGTGTATATGTGCCAAAAAACTAAATTTGCCCTAAAAGAGAATACTACACTCTGCTAATTAAAAGGTTTGCACTATGGCTCAAACCATTTTTGGGGGGGTTCCACGGTGTTGGTACACTATGTCAAAGGTTTCCACAGGAAAAATGAATTGGGAACCCCTGCGCTAGAGGAACACTCCCAGACCAGAATGTTCACCTAACTTTTGTGCTTCGAGAAAAACCAATGGAATGCTGCTTTCTCTAGGTTTTTCACTTTCAACAGAATTATAGAAATTTAGAAACAGATAGTAGAAAAACATTCCTTCTAGCAAGTGTCACTAATGTGTTTAAAAAAAAAGCTATTGTGCAAATAAATGCCAAATAGTGAAAAGCGTATAGCGCTTTAACAAATAAACAAACACTTACTCCTGGAATTCTCAGGAGATATGGGCAATGGGTGGAAAAATCCTAAAAATGAAATATATAAAATATGGTGCAATATGATCGGTATAATGGTGAGAGAAATATCTTATACTGGATTCACTCACATGGTCTAGACTCTAGAGCTTCTTAAGGACCGGCTCTGATCTCATCCGCTTTTGTGTCCTTAAGGTGACACACACCCTAAATGTCCATATTAGGCAAAAACCTCAAAATGGAGACAAAAAATGGAGAGAACAGGGAAGCAATGCTGACCCTGGTGCAGAAATCATTGATGTAATAAAGTGCAGAATATAAATAAAAATTGGCTTCTCACCTTGTCAGGAGCCTATAACTGGGCTCCAAGTATGTGGATATTGTGTCAAATTAGAGTGACACAGCGCTTCTTTAAGCAGCATAGATGTTTCACCAGACTTATATGTAAAAAAGTAACATTTATTGTAACATATACTATAAAACAATAAAATCAATATACATAAGTGATGGTGATGAGTCCAAGACGCGTTTCGCCTGTATAATTCGGCTTTATCAATTGGTGATTAAAAATGCTGCTAGTTCAAAATTAAATACCCCATTGAGGGGAGTTAATTGGTGAATGGCGTCCGTGATACATCCAATCACGGCGCTCGTATCGGTGGGAGTGTTGGGACTCAACTGTGAATGATGTTTCCTATGTTATGAGGTCATCACGCACGACAGCTCGTGCATGTGACGTCACATGCGGAAGTAGGCAACGTCCAAAATTAGACTGTATGCATATGTCCGTCCCACATTGATAGTGCTCCACCCAGATAATCACGTGTCTGGAATATCCTCTCAGACTCCCGGCCGTGAAGTGGGCGTATCATTTCTTGGAATGGCGTCCTCCATTTTTCTTAAGGGCAATGTAATGGAAAAGGAGTGTTCATAAATAGTCCAATATTCATCAAATCTCAAGGGATGTTCCTGGGTAGTGTTTGTTCTCAGCAGAGCATAATAATAAAATAACAGAAATGGAACATGGATTATACAGTACTCATAAAGGGAGGCTAGAAATAAATAAAGTGACACAGTGCCTCCATATTAAAAATTAGATGTATGGATCCATAAAATATAAATATTATATAATGGATATATACATATATTATTATGGAATATTCTTAAAGGTGCAGTTGGTGTGACTTATAATGATGACTTCATATAAATGTAAAAGAGGACGCAATTGGAAAAATATAGAATTATAAATACTTAATGTAACAATGACATATGGCTAAAAATACCTCTATAAAAACAGCTCTATAAAAAATGGCATATTTCGAAGTCATCATTCAGTTCATATGGTTACATCGTGCTCAAATTGAAAATCCATTTAATCTCTGTTTGTCCTATGTTCTTAGTTAAATCACCTCCCCTCCAATTTACAGAGACTCTTTGAATTCCCATGAATTCCATAAAACGGGGGTCACAATTGTGTTTTTCTTTGAAATGCATGGAGACGCTATGCTTCTCAAAGCCATTTTTTATATTTCTTACATGTTCCTGAATTTGTGTGTTTAGTGTCCTGATGGTTCTTCCTATGTATGTTAGTTTGCATGGGCAAGTGATTTTATATATGACTCTTGTGGAATGGCAAGTGATTAGTTTGATTTTGAACTTTTTTCTACTATCTCAAAATCCTTTATCACTCCTTTCAAGCTTTGAGTATTTTTACATGAGCCACACCCATAAAATCCATTAGTCTCGTTAATAAAGGATGATTTTGCTGTGGTTTTCTGTGATGGTATATGATTGTGCACTAAACTGCTGTTTAAGTTGTGTGCACCCCTATATGTGATCATAGGTGTATCTGGGAGTAAAGAATGAAGGATAGGGTAATTTTTTAGTATTGGCCAATATTTTCTGATTATTTTCTTCAATTGATTACTATTACAATTAAAATCACAAATAAAATTAAAATTTTGATGTTGTATATCCACTTTCTTATCCTTGTATGTAAGCAATTCATTCCTATTTTTAATTTCTACCTCTTCATAAGCTCTTATTAACAGTTCGTTGCTATATCCTTTTTCTCTAAAATCGTTCAATATTTTAGTGGACTGTTCTTGGAATTTTGTATTGTCCGTGCAATTGCGCTTAATTCTCAATAACTGTGCTTTGGGGGCGTTCAATAGCCAAGGGGAGAAATGGCAACTTTTCTCCCCTATATAACTATTGACATCCACCTTTTTGAAGAAGGTACAGGATTTAAGAATGTTCTCTTCCACATATATGTTAAGATCTAAAAATTCCACCAAAGTTTTACTAAAATAGCTGGTGAGTTTGATGCTACAGTCGTTGGTATTCAAGTGGGTTAGGAAAGTGTTACGCGATAGTTCATCACCCTTCAAAAAAAAAATATGTCGTCTATGTAACGGCGATAGGTGACGAGGTTTGCGTCCCATCTATGGTCGCTATAAATAAACTCCTGTTCCCAGTGTGACATGAACAGGTTCGCGTAGCTGGGCGCAAACCTCGTACCTATCGCCGTTCCACATGTCTGCAGATAAAACTGGTCTCCAAACCAGAAATAATTATTGCCTAAAATCCACTCTATTCCTTCAACAATAAAATTAATTTGATTAGTTAAAATTTGTTCGAGTGTTCCAAAAAGTGCCTAGTTGCTCTACATCCCTTGGTGTGGGAAATAATCGTGTATAACAAACTGACATCAGCTGTCACAAGATAATAATCCACATCCCAGGTAATGTGTTGAATAATCTGTAAAATGTTTATGGTGTCTCTCAAGTAGCTCGGGCAGGTGTTGACAATGGGTTGTAAACATTTGTCAATATATTGTGACAGCCTGCTCGAGATGGATCCTAACTTGGTACTGGCTAGCTGGAGATCATGGGAGATGTGGTCTACAACAGCTATAGCAAAAGGGCTTAGCCCCCTCTATGTTTTAAGATATGACTCTATTTCATTCCTTTTATTTACTTTAGCAATTTTGTAATATGTTTCAATATAGAGGTTATAACAAGGTT